AGTGGGAGTTTAGGTCCGGTTCTCAACAGACAGGAGGCGTCCTAGGATTTTTCCTGAAATACTGCAATCACGGTGGTACTGACCCGATTTCAGTGGACTGTTTCCCTGGACGAAGCTGCCTCTTGCTAGAAAGCCAAAGGCTCTGCTTCTCGTTTCTTTCTGCTTGTCTGCTCTGCCTTAACCCTCGCCCATGCCCATGTCCATCAGTGTTCCTCGGGTCACTGAGGGGCAGCTCCACCTGTACTGACAGTTACCCTATTTCCTCCTAGTGCCCAAGGAGGATGCAGAGGCGGAGTTTCCTGCTGACACAGCAGATAAAGAATCTCCACACACTGAGGTGAGGTGCCCCATCTTTCTCTAAAACAGAAACGCTCCTCCTTGGCTGCTTTCTTAATAAAACAGAAGAAAATCCAAACACTGATAGGGTCAATCACACACCCTGTGCTTGATGGGAGGCAACTGCAGTAGGTCTGTATCTACTGAGGGCTGACTCAGGACACAATGAGCAAATGGCAGCACCAGTTGGCACTGGACATAGCAAGATTTTCCTCAGCACCATATCCCTTCCTTTGCGAATTCTGTAATACTGCCAACCAAAATGCACCGAACAGACATGTGTGAAGAGCTCGTGTTCTGCTGGTGTGAACTAGGATCTCTCTGTTCTTGTCTTGGGGTTCCCTCCATGGGACTGCTCTTCCCCATCTGGTTTCAATGGCACCAAGTGAATGAAAGACCTGCGGTCACGGCACACAGCTCGATCTGTTCCTTACAGTGTTGTCTTCTAATTACAGGTGACCGCAGTAGGAATGACAAATGGTACGTACTCTGGAATCACTCACTCCCTGTAGCAGGAATAGTCCAGATGGTGACATAGGGGGACTACTTTATCATGCATGGTCACCTGATGCCAGCTCCTTGCTGTGAAAGGGAACTGGGGATGCAGTCATAAAGTGATATCCCTGTTGATGGGTGTGGCCCTTTCTTATGGTCCCTGGAAGATACTGTGTATTCTGTGCTTGGGGTGGGTATGTCTATGTCTGTATCCATGGGATGTGATTCTGAATGTGTGAGTTCTGCAGTTTGCAGTGTCCCTAGTGTCATATTCCCCAGAAGCCTCTGTCAGTATCTCAGTAACAAATTACTCCTATTGGACTCACCCCATTGTCGCTCCCCCTCTTCGTGGAGGAACGACACAGGACCCTGCGCTGTTCTTTCGTCTGCTCGGCCCTCCCCGGGTTTGCTGCTGGTTCTTCCCGGGTTGGCTACTATCCCTTCCACCTCCGTGGAAGGGCAGTTCCCCTGGCCGCATTCCCCACTTCCGCAGGGAAGCGGCACACCGCCGGCCGGCTCTCTGGGGGGCTGCACAGGTTCCCTTAGATGTTCCCCTTAGATGTTCCTGGTGCGTGCCGTCTCTCCTCCTTTATAGTCCTCTTCCGCCAATCCTAACTCGGCTGCCCAACGCCAAGTACGCTGCTCTCCAATCAGGAGCAAGTCCTACAGTTAATTGGTTGAACTGGAGGCAGCTGTGCGGAAGCTGTTTACTTCTCTCCCAGCGCCATATTGTGGGAGAGCAGATGCATAGAATAAGTCTTAATTCCAGTAACAGTCTAGTCCGGGCTGCTCCCCACACCCCATGGCTACAGGCATGTGTAAAATGAATGAAATTGTACACTTTACATGAGCGCAGCTCCTACTATGCTTAATTAACCTCAATTCCTTGCACAAGCTTCCCTAGGGAAAACATCCCTCCACACCCAGATCAATGTCCACTAAGTGCTATGTGTCTGATGTTGGCCAGGAGTTGTCTGGCAGAAACATGGGGGACCTGGAAGTCATGTCACATCACAGCTGCAGTACACCGCAGTACAGGGCAGTGGGAGGACCACAGGCTCCAGCACAGAGCAGGCTCAGTGCAGGGAGGGCATGGATCCCACAGTCCAGGAGCCCTTGCTACTCCTTTCTGTGGCCCAAGGACATCTGTGGTTCAGTGGATCCAAATATCTTGGACAAAGTCCATCTGTGTCCTGACACTCACTGCTATAAGAACACTGGCCAGGGCTGTTCTATCTTAGTACACATTCGCATCCATATCCTGGCCCTTGGCCCATGAGCAGGTGAGGAATACACCCTGGACTGGAATCTGGCTCAGGGCTGGAAAGACTCCGTGCTTACCGTGTGCTGCCCGCTGAACCACACACTGAGCCGAGTACCTGCCCAGGTCTGACCAGGCCAGAGGGAAGAGTAACTGCTACTGGAGAAAGTGCTCTTCAGCCCAGCCTGCTCCAGAACTCTCTCTCTCTCAACCCAGCACAGGACCCATCCTGCAACTCATCAAGCTCAGAGCATGCACAGCACAGTGGGTTCTGGGAGTTTTCAGATGGAGGCTGGAGCCACTGTCATTCAGGCGTGGGGAAAGTGAGACACTGAGAGGAGGTGCCGTCAGCTCCTCTCCCTCACTGGAACACTTGAAGCTGTGGTCAATGTCTGGCTGAGGGGCAGGGCCACAGAGCCCAGGAAGGGGCTGAGAGCCGAGGGGAGCAGGGTCATGCTGTGTGATCCAGGATGCACAGGGGTGAGGGGAGGAATGGGCGAGACACCTCTGTGAACACTTATTGTCTGTCTTTGGTCTGTGTCTGAAGATTGGGCCTCACAGAGCATTTCCAAGTCCTACAGTGAAGCTGAAGTCTCTTCAGGTACGGAGCAACACCCATATGGACCGGGGGTCATTAAGAGGGAACAATGGGAGTACACCTGCCTCTTAGGACTCCTGAGAGGACACATGAAGTCAGGAGGAAAGAGAGGAAGTGTACGTAGAAGTCTGCTTTGTTCTTCTATGGGATTGGCACAGTAGCAACAGGTTTTATTTCCATGGGCATGAGGAGAACTGAGTTTTCTTCCTTTGGAATGAAAAATGTAATTTTCTCTAATACCCACCATCCTTGGCTTTGCCAAGGCAAAGCTGAAATCCACTGTGTCATGGGACAGCACTGACTAGGAACTGAGCACAGGAGATGTGTATTTGACTTTGGCACTGACCATTGTCAGTCCATTTGTGCGCAGCAACAAAACCCCTGACACTCAGTCATTCACAAGGAACAGAAATCCTTTCTTCCTGTTGGAGGCTGGCAGGTCCAGACCAAGGTGCTGCATTGCTTCTGAGGAAGGGCTCCTTGCTGCATCGAGGACAGGGATACAGTGGGCGCCCTCTCTCACAGGCACCGGGCTGGAACCCACAGAGTCCTTGTAGCAAGTGCCAGCCGACAGTGACTAGTGGACCCTTCCCTCTGCATGGCCAGTCCGTGGATCAGCACCTTCATGCTCTGTCCTCATTGTCTACTCCAGTTTACAAGGCCTGCCCAGGCTGGGCGAGTTAAATACTTCCTTTGGGCTGACTGACTTCCAGGTTGTGAGGAGAGGGCATAACCCTGAGTTCATCTCAGCTTCCACATCTCGCCCAAGTCAAGTGTCTGGAGTAGGCTGCGTGACGGGCTGTCATCCAGCTGCCACTGGAGATGCAGCATGGTTGTGCAGGCTTCACAGAGGATGTGTGTTTGGTGGGTTCTGGGTTGGGCGAATGGTGAAGCAGTTAAGTGGCAGCTTGCAGTACCAGCATCCCATATGGCAGCTGGGTTGAGTGCTGGCTGCTCCACTGCCAATCCAGCCCCCTGCTAATGCACCTTGGAAACAGCAGAAGATGGTCCAAGTCCCTGGGCCCCTACACCCACATGGGAGCTCAGAAGAAGCTTCTGACTCCTGACATCTGGCACAGTCCCAGCCATTGCGGCTATCTGAGGGGTGAACCAGCACATGGACGATCTCTGTGTCCTCTCTCTCTGTAACTCCTCATTTCAAATAAATAAATAAATATTTAAAAAGCCCCACAGTATTAGAAAGAGAAGGAGAAACAAGAGGAAGGGCTCTCCCATCCTTAGGTTTACTTCACAAATGGCCCCAATACCTGAGCTGTGCCAGGCCAGTCAGGAGCCTGAAACTCCATCCACTTCTCCCACATTGGTGGCAAGGGGACAAGCACTTGGGCCATCTTCTGGTGCATTCCCAGGCCCTTTAAGAGGGGCTGGATCAGAAGTGGGGCATTCAGGACACTAACCAGTGCTCTGGGGGGACGCTGGCATGACCACAGTGCCATTTTACCTACAAAGCTCTCATAGCCGATGGCAATTTGATTCGTGCAGGCTGACGAATGCAAAGGAGACTGGCAATAATTAGGAGAGAGAATAGAGGAAGGAAAGATGAAGGGTGGAAAACAGTGTGTTACAGAGATCATGTCATGGACATGGCTCCCTATGGAGTAACAAGATGACACGGGGGTTCCTTTCCTGGCCACAGTCATGGGAGCTGAGGGCAGGAAGAAGAGGTGAAACGTTCAGAGATCCACTTGCTCATTGCAGAGGTGAAGACATCCAGGCCTGGATAGGGGATATAGGACATGGGGTCCCAAGGCTGGCCCACATCATCCAACCAGCAGCAGGGATCCGAGTCCTCACCTCAAGTCTAACTCTCCCCTTTCCTTCTCTCTGGCAACCTCAACACCCCTGCTCTGGTGCACATGGAAGGCTATGGGGCAGCACCTGAACTTTCCACTGGGTGTGGCAATCGGGGGGTGAGTGATTCCTCTTTCATTTTTTCTGATTCTCTCGCTTTCTTGCTCACAAGCCCCTGGTCCTGCTTCTCCCCACGTTCCCTCCTCACCACAGTGGATGATTCGCATCCTGCAGGACCTGGTGGCATCCAGGCAGTGGATGTCCTTGCACTGTGGATGCTGATCCAGTCTCTCTGCAGCCCTCCCCTCTCCCTTCATCAGCCTTGCCCTCCTCACCCCTGGACTGCACTATGAAACGGTGCTGAGCAACCCGACTGCCCACACAGGGAGCTGGGCTGGGGACAGGCAGGCAGGGTCCCAGTGTCAGTGGAGGGAGGACTCCAGGGAAGTATGACTCTGGCCTCCATGTCCCCTAAGAAAGGGCTTTTCTTTAATGCCTGTTCAGGAAACTCACACTGTTTCTTCTTTCCAGCTGTCCACATGTTCCCTGGACGTGAACTATCCCCAAAGTCTTCTGGACATGGAGGACCTTGACCAAGAAGAACAGGAAATGTGAGTTTGGAGCAGGAAGATGGGGGGGCAGAGAAATAAGTGCACACGGACTTCACTGCTTCACATTTCTTTGTGACACCCTTCAGGGAAGCCAACAAAATGGAGCCCAGTAGTGGAGAGGCTGCCGTCAGCCCTGATCCATCAAGTAGACACTAATGGATGTTCAGGATCTACACAGGCAAGTAAAGGATGTGCCGTGAGGTGGTCCCAGGGACACATCCCCATTCCATGGCAGCCCCTAGGGCTCCCAGGCTGAGCCCCTAGTGGCTGCTTTCATCGGAAGGGGAGGACTGGCACACGAACGTCATCAGAGGGAGCTGCTGGCCGTGTGTTTCTGGGGAGAGCCGCCAGAGCTGTGAACATCTCCCTCCAGAGCCCACATCCCTGCCTGCCCAGCCCCAAAGTCAACAGGGAGACTCTCTGCCATGGGGAGACACAGGGCCATCCCTGACCTCCTCCAGCTCAGGATGATTAGGAAGGGGGTGAGAGAGTCGCATTTTGAGGCTCCTTTTCACTCCAGGAGAACATCCCACTGCACTCACCTTTGCATCCCTGTGGGCACCCAACTTATCCTGACATTACAGAGGCTAGCACAGAACAAAGAGATGGGGCCGGCGCTGTGGCACAGCAGGTAAAGCACCATCTGCGTGCTGGCATCCCATATGGGCACTGGTTCAAGTCCCAGCTGCCCCACTTCCGATCCAGCTCTCTGCTATGGCCTGGAAGTAGAAGAAGATGCCTCAAGTGCTTGGGCCCCAGCACCCATGTGGGAGACCCAATAGAAGCTCCTGGCTCCTGGCTTCGGACTTTGGAGCCCTGGCCGTTGCGGCATCTGGGGAGTGAACCATCGGATGGAACACCTCTCTCTATCTCTCTGCCTCTCCTTCTCTTTCTGTGTAATTCCGACTCAAATAAATGAATGAATCTTAAAAAAAAAAACATAAGAGCTATAGGGATTTGCCTAAGCCAATGGGGCCCTCAACCTGCTTTCGTAAAAGGCTGATAAAGAAGGATTATTTATATGGTTGGATTGTTTTATTTGGAAGGAATATAAAATTGTGCATCTGTCTAATTCACACAGAAACACGATGGCAATTCAAAGCAAAGCTCACTTTGAAGAGCAAGAGGAGCAGAGTTATAAATCCCTTGTGTTCCTTTTATTTGTGCTCTAATTATAGTTAAATTATATATGCACATGGGTTTATGACCTTTTGAAAAGAAGTGTTTTCCGTCACCCCTTCAATGCTGATATGCACAAAAGCAATAATGTTTGGGTTTATACGCCAAAAAAAATGATTCTTTTGTGTTTCAAAGGCATAGTTACAGAGAGGGAGGGTGAAACAGAGAGATGTTCCATCCACTGGTTCACTCCCCCGATGGCCACAACAGCCTGGGTTGGGCCAGACCAAAACCAGGAGCCAGCCTTCATCTGGATCCTCCACATCAGCTTAAGGGCCCAAGGACTTGTGCGATCTTCTGCTGCTTTCCCACATCCATTAGCAAGGAGCTGGATTGGAAGTGGAGCAGCCAGGACTTGGACTGCATCCCAAATAGGATGCTGGCATTACAGGTGGTGGCTTAACTCATTATGCCACAATTCCAATCCCAAAATGATTCTTCTTTAATAAAATCTCTGCGATCAGGGGAGAATAGAAAGTTCTGCTTGATCAGGGGAGGAACTCAAAGAGCTCTGGGAAGTCTTCCATAGTTAACTTGTCAGTCACAAGCTAGGATCCTGGGGTATGAACAGAGTGAGGAGGGTCAGTACTCCTTCCTGTGTCATCAGACCTCCTTCTCCTCACAGGACCCAAGTAAGTTGGTCAAGAGAGTTCCCTTTCCCTGTGCATCTGAGGGCTAAGAGAGTTCCCACTTCCTGTGCATCAGGTTCACTACCTAATGGGCCAGTTCCCTGAAGGCTGCCCAGGTGAATGTCTAGGTGAATTTATTCTTTTTTTAAAGATTTATTTTATTTGAAAGGCACAGTTACAGAGAGCGAGAGCAAGAGAGAGAGAGAGAGAGAGAGAGAGAGAGACATGGAGACATAGAGAGATCTTCCATCCCAAATGGCCGCATCAGCCGGGGTTTGGCCAGACTGAAGTCAGGAACCAGGAGATTCTTCCAGTCTCCCACATGGGTGCAGGGGCCCAAAGACTTGGGCCATCTTCCACTGCTTTCCCAGACACATTATCAGGGAGCTGGATCAGAAGTGGAGAAGCCAGGACTTGAACTGACGCCATAAGGGATGAGGGAGTTGCAGGTGGTAATACCCTGTTATACCACATGTGGGCCCCCAGGAATTCACTCTTGTGGGATGTCCATATCACAAGCAAATGGGCCTCCATTACTGATGGCCCAAATCACTGGGCAGATCACAGCCTAGGGTCACCTTCGAGGGTCACAGAAAACTTCCGAGTTCTGCACACACCCCTTGCACCAGCTGCCGCGTCCTTGTCCTCCTCACTGATCCCCATTCCTGTGTCTTCCTGCAGATTCCTTTGCTCCTTGGAAGCCTGCAATGTGGAGGGCAGGACACAGAGGAGTTGGAGCTTCTCCAACCACAGGAAGCTTGAACAACGCAGGAGGAGACACAGCTGACCAGCCACATCTCTCCTCACCAGTCCTCTGCAGATTATGGTATTAAATTATCATCATCCGTACTTGTTGCTTTTCATATGGTTTTTGTCCAATGAAGCACATCACAGGGAACACCTCAGCAAAGGTAGAACTTAAAGGACCTGAGAGCAGTCACCCTAGTGACTACCACCACCACCAACCCCTCAGGAGGAATCCCATTTGATCCTCAATGAATAGTCACTGCCAGGGTGGTCTTTTCAATCCGTTCTTACAGCATACTTTCTATGGTTTTTTAAAGATTATTATTGATTCAAAAGTCATAGTTACACAGAGAGAGAAGAGGCAGAGAGAAGTCTTCCATCTTCTGATTCATTCCCCAGATGGTCGCAACAGCCAGACCTGCACCGATCTGAAGCTAGGAGCCAAGAGCTTCTTCCAGGTCTCCCACACGGGTACAGGGCCCAAGGACTTGGGCCATCTTCTACTGCTTTCCCAGGCCATAGCAGAGAGCTGGATTGGAAGTGGAGCAGCCGAGTCTCAAACCGGCACCCATATGGGATGCCAGCACTTCAGGCCAGGGCGTTAACCTGCTGCACCACAGTGCCGGCCCCTAGGGTTTTGTTGTCACCCATCTGTTCCTTCCATTGGAAGGCATCATGGGGTCCCTTTCGCTCACAGTGTCTCTTGACGACCTGGATGCCAATGCACTTTTTACCTAATGTCAGCTTGGATGGCACAGAATTCCAGGTTTAGTTTCTCTTCTCAAGCATCTTAAATATATTCTTTTTTCCTTTTGCCCAGACTCGCTGTTTCTACAAGACTGATGAGATTCTCAGTTTCATTTCCCTTTATGTCACTCATCCTTGTATTCTAGATGCCTGAACATTTTTCTTTTAATACACAGATTTTACTGGAATATCAATGGCATCAGCCAAAGTCACATCCAGTGGTCTTCTAAGATGGAATCTGACAGCGCATTTTCGTTGGCAGAAAAGTCTGCATTGTGCTGATTGGCTTTGGGTCACTGCACTGTCTCTTCCCTTCCAAGAATTTCAGGCATCCAGCAGCTCCCTGTGCTTCTCTTCATCTCCCAACATCTCTGATCAGGTTTCTGTTGTTAACATTTTCTTCTATTCACCTTCCGTGTCTTGAAAGGCACAGCCTGCTCCTGTGTTTCTTCTAGTTTACACTTCATGGCTGATGTTCCTTTTCCCATTTTCCTTCTTCTTTCCCCTTTTCTCTCCATCCATTCCCGAGCTTCCTGGATTCTTAGTAACGACGTCCTTTCATGCTTGGTATCATTTTCCTAATGATTTTTCCTCATCCTGGAAACTATCCTGCTGAGAGCACAGATGACATCAAGCTGGGAATGTTTTCAGTGTGGGAGTCCTTGCTCTCTTTCTAGTACTGATTCCCCCCTCTAGTGCCTTGTATGGGGATGGGCATATTCCCATCAAGGTTTGTGTTCTCCCTTTTGATGGGAAATTTGGTTTTTCTAGAATGAGCACTAGGATTCAGAAAAGCTTGCCTCACCTCACGCAGCTTCTCTCAGTGGTTTCTGTGCAAAGCTAGCAAATATGATATCTAATTTCCTAGTTTTGCAGTTTATTTCATATGAGTCGCCCCACCCAAAATATTGCTACTTTAAAGAGGTCTCTTATGGAAGACAACAACGGTCCCACGACTGCACAAATCCAGATTTATTAGCTTTTTTTTTTTGACAGGTAGAGTTAGACAGTGAGAGAGAGGGACAGAGAGAAAGGTCTTCCTTCCGTTGGTTCACTCCCCAAATGGCCGCCACGGCCAGCATGCTGCACCTATCTGAAGCCAGGAACCAGGTGCTTCCTCCTGGTCTCCCATGCGGGTGCAGGGCCCAGACACCTGAGCCATCCACCACTGCCTTCCCAGGCCACAGCTGAGAGCTGGACTGGAAGAGCAACAACCGGGACAGAATCTGGTGCCCAAACCGGGACTAGAACCCGGGGTACCAGCGCCGCAGGCAGAGGATTAGCTACGGCGCTGGCCATATTTATTCCCTTTTAATGGAGAGTCAGTATCAGAATCACTGAGCTCATGGACTCATCTAATCTACAAAATGATTTTCTCAGAATTATTAGTAAACCTTTCTTTAGTGGACATCCTTTCATTCATTTGATGAATCAGTTTTAGTTTCGTTGAGCCACAAAATTGAGAGTTTTTAATTTTACTTGTGTCATTTGAGTTTAGAGTTAATAATTTTATTTTATTTTTGTATCAATCTAATTTCAGAAAAATTTGCATTAAATCACAGAAACGCTTTTTAATTAATTAGTGATATTATTCATTTTGAGTCTGTCAGACTGCCAGACAGGAACATCTGGGATCACATTCACCTAGGCCACAACTCTAGCAGGAAATGGCTTTTGCCAAGTTCAGACACAGACAGCAGGCTCACCCCAATCTCCTGGATTTGACACAGCATGGCCAAGAATCACCTTAATTTGTGCCCAAATTATCCTTAAATGCAGTGTTTTGAAAATAAGATCTCATAGGAAAAGCAGTGTTTGAATTGTCTTTGTCAAATTAAAAAAGTAATATATAGATAAAAAACCTATCATCTACATAATGTCAAGAACCAAAGCCTGAGCAATTAAATATGTATACACACACACATACTCTATAGAAGCATGGCTTGGAAGTAAAATGCTGCTGCGTTTATACAGATAATCTCACGTGTCAGGACTACGTGAATGAACTCTGGCTTCCTGTAGCCTGGGGTGCTCTACTGCTCACTGTCCAGGGACTCCTATTGGTGCAATGGCTGAGCCAGACCCACGGCTGCATGTTAAACATCTCCATCACACAAACTGGCATCACTTGTCAGCAAAAGGAAAGATCAACATCATGTGAGCCATTCCAGCCTCCGACACCCTGCCACCATGTACAGGTGACTCTTGGCTTATCAAGTGGTAGCTGCATCTTGAATGATGTCCACAGTCAAAATAACATGATGGGGGCATATACCTTCCTGTATTCATGTACAGAGAGGCACACAAATATTAAATGAATGCCAAAGCACATGTGCATAACTGTCGAAATACTTGTGTGTGTCTACACAATATAGAAAACTGTTCTTTTACATGTAGTGCTGTTTCCTTGCACTGGGATGTTTCACCATGCTGGGAAGGAGGAAATCACGACTCCCATTAGTCCTAGAAATGCTCACCCACACAGTTACAGGGTGGTGTCTGTCTGTCTCAGAAATAAATGCCCAGGGACAGAAGTCCACCAATGATTTCCAAATACAAGAATTTCTAGGCAAGAAAATGTACATACACAAATCAATCACATACAACACAAGAAGAAACACACAACCTCTGTGGTTAGGGGGCACTGGGCTCTCCCTTCCCTGTTGCTCTGCTTCGGGCTCATAACCACCCAAGAAGACCCTTCACACCAGTTTCAGGGTGTGATCACTGATACTCCCCAGGGGTGTGCCCATGCACAACCCTGACCACAGTGACTTCCCTCTCTATGGGGAGCTGGCCATCCTTGCCTGAGATTTTACCCAGAAGGAAAAGAACATTTTGTACAACCCAGGGTCTCAGAGCTGGACTGCAGACTGGGGTAGATGGAGTTGGGCCTCTCCTCTGAGAACTCCCACTCATCTGAATTATCTTATGTATTTGAAAAGCAGGGTGATATGTAGAGAGAGATAGAGGGTGAAGATCTTCCATCTGCTGGTTCACTCCCCAAATAGCCACAAAAGCCAGGGCTAGGCCAGACCAAAGCCAGGAGTCTGGAACTCCATCTGGGTCTCCCACATGGGTGCAGGGACCCAAAGAATTGGACCACCTTCTATTTCTTTCCCAGCTGCATTAGCAGAGGGTTGGATAGCAAGCAGAGCAGATAAGACACAGCTTGACTCCCATATGGGATGCTGGCATCGTAGGTGGTGGCTGAACCCGCTGTGCCATAATGCTGGCCCTTCCTCTGGGTTTTGAGGTTTCCTTTTAGGCAGGATAGGCAGGTACCAGGAAGATGACACCTGGCTGCAGGGTCAGCTATGCCATGGTGCCACCAGAATGTGGATCTGCACACTCCCCAGAGTCAGCTCTGGCCACCATCCCTGAAGATTACACACTCTGGGAGCCAGACTCGGCCAAAATGAACTTGTCCTAGAGATATGGACCAGGCTAGCTGGAGGGCCACCACACTAGCTTTCTGGGAAACACACGGAACCTACATGCTGTAAGCCACTTGTCTTGGAGGGGCATTCTGGGCCCACAGCAGGTTTACCAGCCTTCTGAACAACATGACATAAAAGAGATCCAGCTCACCAGGTCAGAGGGCGACTTTCAGTCCTGCTAGCCCATTAAGATATATAAGGAGTGTTTCTAACTTAGGGCCCAACTCTCTTGGGCAAAGAGGTTTAGCTAACTGCTAGAGGTAAGTGGGAACAGGGATTGCTCATGTACAACCCAGGACAAAGTAGGACCTAAGGCCTTGGAAAGCCCACGTCCTGTCCCACCTCAATGCAGCAAGTTTCCAGACATCTCTTGGTTTGTTGGTGAGAGAATGAGCCCTGTATGATGTCCAAAGGGAAACAACCAACTTCCAACAAATCTTTGGCTACACAACTATGTAAATGTTCATAAACACTGAATGAACCTCTAAAGATGTATGTGTGTGTGTTTCTCTGTGTGTTTGTGTAACTACTCACACTTGTTTAAAATTACAGAAAAATTTTCCAGGACCCATCTGGCTAAATCCTTGTAGCTGAGAACCTTCAACATCCTAGGAAGATGGATTCATCACTATCATCACTCTATGTCAGAAAAAGTAATATAGCTAGAAAAATCTATGATTCCTAAATATATGCATCTATAAACTGAAAGTATACATATGGAAACAAACAACACACATCAGGCAGAGAAACACACAATTTGACACACCATCTTTTTTGTCCTCATGACAGTGAGATCTCCTCCCCCTCTCTGGATAGCTGGGAGGCAAAAATACCCATGGAGTCCTTTTGCTGCCAAGTCCAGGGTCCCTTGTCTGACACCAATCTGCACGGCCATGTCACTGAACCACCCCGACAGCAGGGACTTCACTCTCAGTGTGGAGCTGGCCACTCTTTCCAGAGAAACAAAGCACATATTCTGAATACCCAAGGGGACCTGAGATCCATGAGTGACAGCCGTACCTGGGCGTTTCCCCTGAGAACGTCTCACTCTATTTCCTAAAACTACCCTGGAGGCAGCACTCACAGACTTAAGGTGCTATGGTGCCAGACTGAGGATAGCCATGAAGGAAAGGCAGCAAGATGGGAATTAGGGGACTTCGTAGGGCCCAGGAACAGCTCCAGACTGGTATTACCAAGCATTATTAGACCACCGAGTCTGGCCCACACTCCCTTGAGCTGGAAAGTGAACCTGGCAAGCAAAGGGCCAGCTCACTGACTTGGAAACATTTAGGATCCACATACCCTAGGCCTCTCTCACTTGTGGGAGACACTCTGGACCCACATCTTTCCTTTTACAAAAACACTTGAAGGCCGGCACCGCGGCTCACTAGGCTAATCCTCCACCTTGCAGCGCCGGCACACCGGGTTCTAGTTCCGGTCGGGGCGCCGGATTCTGTCCCAGTTACCCCTCTTCCAGGCCAGCTCTCTGCTGTGGCCAGGGAGTGCAGTGGAGGATGGCCCAAGTGCTTGGGCCCTGCACCCCATGGGAGACCAGGATAAGTACCTGGCTCCTGTCATCGGATCAGCACAGTGCACTGGCCACGGCAGCCATTGGAGGGTGAACTAATGGCAAAGGAAGACCTTTCTCTGTCTCTCTCTCTCTCTCTCTCACTGTCCACTCTGCCTGTCAAAAAAAATACTTGAAAGAGTCTACAGATAGGAAATGGATCCTTTACCTGTGTAGGTGTATTCTTGGGTACAGAATGCTCCAACTCCTAGGAGGAAAGAATTCATTACTATTGTAATTTCTAGAAAGGTATACATATAAAACTACATACACACATATTGTAGAATAACATAGCCACAAATAAATCTACAACTCCCAAATACATGAGTATCACCCTGAAACAGCTCACTGGCTCTCAGTGGGGAGCTGGCCACTCTTCCCAAAGATGCTTACCACAAAGGAAAGTTCATACCTTCAATAACCCATGGAGGACTCAGACACTCAGGTGCCAACAGGGGAGGCTGCAGCTGGGCCTCTCCCTTGAGAACATGTCCTCATTCTGTGTTCTGAGATTGCCATGAGAGCAGTTCACAGAGGCATGAGGTCAGGTGACTAAAGGGACAAGATGCAGTGCCATCAGAATGTACATGTTTGGGGACTTTCCAGAGACAGATTTGAGTCCAAGCTACTCTGCTTCCAGTCCAGCTTCCTGCTTATGTATCTGGGAAGGCAGTAGAAGACGGCCTAAGTTCTTGAACCCCTGCCACCCAAGTGGGAGACCAGGATGGAATTCCTGGCTCCTGGCTATGGCTCGTTCCACACTTGATGGTTGTAGCAATTTGGGAAGTAAACCAGTAGATGGAAGTGCTCTCTCTCTAGCTCTCTCTCTCTCTTTCTATTTCTTTTTCTCTCTCTTTCCTCCTTGCTCTCTCTCTCTGCCTTTCAAATAAATAAGTAAATCGTTCTTTAAAAGCAACTGCAAGTTATGTATGGAAAAACTGAGAAAGTGACTACAAATACCCAAAGATTCAGACTCAGAAAAATGCAAGAGAATCTAAAGCTTACCCTTAGGTTTACCCTAGGCACAGACATAATGTACAATAGTAAAAAATGAGAAAATGCTAATCATGAACAGCAAACGTGGGCGGAGACGATTTTGAGTTACCACATTATGGAGTAAGAATGTCCAGAGCTTGGGTGTCCGGCAAGATGGCGGAATAGGAAGGGAGCACACTGATAGTTCGGGAAGAGACAGTTTAATAAAAGTTGAGATACTGCAGGTTCAAGGAAGAGTTGTGGAAGAAACAGCAGAGGAAACTCTTCCAGAACCAGTGATTCACGGTGGACCTGCGTAGAAAGCGTGGGAGCCCACAGCTCAGGACACCAGTCGCGGAATCTACACAGCAGCGCTGGAACGCGAGGTGAGCCAAAACCTCAGTAGCCTGAGACACTGGCGGGAAAGCAGAAGGAGAAGCCTAGAGGGAATGAGGCCTGAAGCACCATGGGGAAAAGTTCACCAGGCTAACTCGAGAAGAGAGAGAGAGAGAGACAGAGAGGGAAAGGACTGGTACAGGCACGAGTCTCTCTCTCTCCACTCACCTCTCAAAGGCGAGCAAGACAAAGAGCAGGTACCATTTTGGACATACGTAAAAGCTGTGCGACCTCCGGGCTGCACCTGCCAAAGCCAAGCGGAAAAAACTGGACTCTGGGGTGTGTGTGTGTGTGTGTGTGTGTGAGAAATAACAGGAGGTTAGGACCTAGTGAATGTGTGGAGCTAATGAACTGAGGCAGTGAAAAAAGAGACAGTGGGTGAGAGAACTCACAGAGTTCACGTGAGTACTCTCCAGAGACGCTACAATTTGGTAAAATTGGCAACCCAGTGAGAGACTGTAGGGGAATTTGAGCCCACACTGAGGGCAGAACAGATTCTTTGTGTGGTCCTTGGGAAAGAGCAGACGAATGTTATACCCACAGGAGCCAGAGATCAGAAGCTGACTACCTTCAATTCCGCTCAGCTGTGCAGAATTACTTCCCTTCTGGATCAGAGAGAGAGAGAGAGAGAGAGAGAGAGGAGAGAGAGAAATTTACCATGCCTAACCTGGATGTGTCACCTTTGGCACACCCCTAACCCTGAAGAACCAAACAGAGCTCTCTGGCCACACCCATCTGAAGCCTCTAAGGCTCCATCAAAAGCAGACAGTCCACTTAATACAGTCATAGTATAACAAGAAAAAAAACACCACAGCGAGGGAAGAAGAATACAAAGAATATCTCAACAATGCCAAGCAACAAACGCATAAACTGAGGAAACAAGAACAAGGAAGACATTATGACACCCCCAAATGAACAAGACACCCCAAGTCAAGATTATGAAGATGATGAGATAGAAGAAATACAAGATACGTATCTCAAAAAATTTATGATAAGAACATTTAGAAGTTTTCAAAAACAAATTCTTGAACTACAGAAATCCTTACTGGACAGGATAGAAAATCTCTCTCATGAAAATGAAGTCTTAAGGAGGAATCAAAATGAAACACAGAAACTAGTAGAACAGGAAAATGTGATAGTGCAGAGAAACCAAAATGAAATGAAGAACTCAATAGATCAAATGACAAACACATTAGAGAGCCTTAAAAACAGAGTCAGTGAAGCAGAAGAGAGAATATCGGACTTAGAAGATAGAGCACAGGAAAGTATATAGTCAAACCAAAGAAAAGAAGAGGAAATTAAAATCTAAAAAATATGGCTAGGAATCTACAGGATACTATTAAAAAACCCAACATTCGGGTTCTGGGAGTTCCTGAAGGCATGGAGAGAGAGAAAGGATTAGAAGGCCTTTTTAGTGAGATACTAGCAGAGAACTTCCCGGGTTTGGAGAAGGACAGAGACATCCTAGTACAGGAAGCTCATAGAACCCCTAGTAAACATGACCAAAAGAGATCCTCATGATGACACATTGTAATCAAACACACCACAGTGAAACATAAAGAAAAGATCCTAAAATGTGCAAGAGAGAAACGTCAGATTACTCTCAGAGGATCTCCAATTAGACTCACAGCTGACTTCTTATCAAAAACCCTACACGCTAGAAGGGAATGGCGAGACATAGCCCGGGTACTAAGAGAGAAAAACTGCCAGCCCAGAATATTATATCCTGCAAAGCTCTCATTTGTGAATAAAGACCTTTCATAGCAAACAGAAATTGAAAGAATTTGTCGCCACTCGTCTAGCCCTGCAAAAGATGCTTAAAGAGGTGTTACACACAGAAACACAGAAACACGGTCATCAATATGAAATGAGGTAAAGGAAGGAAACCTCACAGCAAGATCACAGGAAGTTCAAAGCATATATTAGAAAATATCTCTGGGAAAATGGTAGGGCAAAGTTACCACTTATCAATAGTCACATTGAATGTTAATGGCCTCAACTCTCCAGTTAAAAGACACAGATTGGCTGAATGGATTAAGGAACAAAACCCATCTATTTGCTGCTTACAAGAAACACATCTTTCCAACAAAGATGCATGCAGACTGAAAGTGAAAGGCTGGAAAAAGATATGCCATGCCAACAGAAATGAAAAAAGAGTGGGCGTAGCCATCTTAATATCTGACAAAATAAACTTTAACACAAAAACTGTTAAGGGAGACAAAGAGGGGCAGAGCTCTCTGCTGTGGCCTGGAAAAGCCGTAGAAGATGTACCACATCCTTCGGCCCCTGCACCCACGTGGAAGACCCAGAGAAGGCTCCTGACTCCTTGTTTTGGATCAGCATAGGTCTGGCCATTGTGGCCAACTGGGGAGTGAACCAGCGGATGGAAGGTCTCTCTCTCTCTTTCTCAGCCTCTCCTTCTGTCTCTGTGTAACTCTGACTTTCAATTAAATAAATAAATAAAATCTTTTTTTAAAAAAAGATGTTTCTGCACTCAAAAGAAACACTTAACAAAATAAAGCAACCAACAGAATGGGAGAAAATACTTGCAAAGTATGCAACTGATAATGGATTTTCTAGGATCCATGAACAGTTCAGGAAACTCAAGAACAACAAAATAAACAAGCTAGCTAAAAAGAGCAAAGGACACGAGTAGGCATTTTTGAAAGGATGAAATACAAATGGTCAGCAGAAACAGTATAAAATGCTCAGGATCACTAGCCACCAGGGAAACACAAAGAAAAACAACCAGGTTTCACCACACCCCATTTAGAATGGCTATCATCCAAAAATTGAAAAATAGTTAATGCTGGCAAGGATGTATGGAAGTTGGTACCCTAAATCATTGCAGGTGGGAGTGTAAACTAGGACAACCACTATGGAAGACTATATGGCGATTCCTCAGAAATCCAAAAATACATCTATGATATGACCCAGCCATCCCACCTTTGGGAATTTTCCAAGCAAAATGAAATTGGCATATGAAAGAGTTATTTGTACCCCTATATTTATTGCAGTTCAATACACAGTAGCTAAGATATGAATCAACCGAGATGCCCATCAACTGATGACTGGATAAGTAAAATTTGGTATATATACACTATAGAATACTATTCAGCCACAAAAAAAGAGAAATCCTGTCTTTCACAACAAAATGGATGCAACTGGAAACCATTATACTTAGTGAAATAAGCGAGTGCCACAAAAGACAAATACCATATATTTTCCCTATTAGTTTCTGTGGTAACTAATAGAACACCAAAAATGTAATATATGATGATTTGCATTGCAATCTGCATGAAGTCATACCTGTGCATAATCTGTTAAGAAGAAATGGCTAAAAGTCTAAATGAGCTAAATTATTACCTTGTAACCACAGAGGAAATATCTGGATGTTACATTGTCATTGGTTCTATTTCATTGAAAGAAATTATGAATGCCAAATAAATTGTATATGGGTGAAATGGTCATTTTTTCCACTCAATTATTATTTATAGCCATTGTCTATATTCCCACTAAATTAGAGTATTTTTGCTTTTTACTTGGTAAACTTCTTACTCCCTGAAGTATTAAGCCTTTTTACTGTAATGTAAGTTTAAAATATGCTAACTTGGGCTGGCGCCACAGCTCAATAGGCTAATCCTCCGCCTGCGGCGCTGGCACCCCGGGTTCTAGTCCCGGTCGGGGTGCTGGATTCTGTCCCGGTTGCCTCTCTTCCAGGCCAGCTCTCTGCTGTGGCCCGGGAGTGCAGTGGAGGATGGCCCAAGTGCTTGGGCCCTGCACCCGCGTGGGAGACCAGGAGAAGCACCTGGTTCCTGGCTTCACATCAGCACGGTGCGCTGACCACAGTGTGCCATCTGCAGAGGCCATTGGGTGGTGAACCAATGGAAAAAGGAAGACTTTTCTCTCTGTCTCTCTCTCTCTCACTGTCTACTCTGCCTGTCAAAAAAAATAAAAAAATTTTAAAAATAAATAAAATATGCTAACTCAAAAAATTTGTTTAAATGACAGAAAGGTAAAAAGAAGAAGGGTAAGAGGGAGGGTGAGAGGGAGGGAGGGAGGGAAACCAGGAGCTTCTTCCAGGTCTCCCATGTGGGTGCAGGGACCCAAGCACTTGGGTCATCTTTCACTGCTTTCCCAGGCCATCAGCAGGGAGCTGGACTAGTTTTACTAAAAACTAGTGATGTAAGAAATTCAGTTAACACTCAGAAGATAGTTGCATTCTCAAAGCAGTTTGTGAAGGCACGTGAACCTCTAACTGCTACAGTTGCTGGTAAATTCACAGAGGTATGTGTATTCTCACCTCCAACAGGTTAGTAACTTGGGGAGAGGAGTAGTATGTGGTCTGTTCACCTTATACATTCCTTCTCATATTCCCAGCCCTAGCTACTGAGGGAGAAGACTAACACATTTTGCTGCTCACCCACAGCCCTATCACTTGCTTTGGCAGGGCTTCCTTGGTTGCTTTCATCACACTATTCATCACCAAAGTCAGGGACACTTTCCAGTTACTCAAGTTCCTTAAAATGTTGCAGAGAAGTGCTGTGGCTTTAAAGCACTCACTGATTTAGGGCTTACTATGAATGCAATGCTGACATCGCTCTATCCCATTTTAATCTTCACACTGTGAGATCGGTATTGACAAATCTCGTATCCAAAATGAAAATATGTGGCAGGTCGTGATATCTGTAGGTGTGTCTTTTGTGACTTGAGGATCTTCTCGGCACCAGACGTAGGCCGGTTTTAACACCAAGCGCTTGCCCTAGACAGTGCCAATGTCAAGAACTGGAGAAGTGTTCTTTTAGTTTCAATGCGTGCACACAAGGAGCATCAAGGTAAACACAGAGTTTTTCATTTTACTGACCACACTCCCCTTCAACACTATAATCCTGAACGTTAGCCAGAAGGACTGGGAGGTGGGGAGGACGTGCATTTGAGTTATATATGATCACATACATTACACATGTGGTGGTGTTTCATAATTTGTGTGGTATATAACAATAAAAACTGATGTCTGTTTCTAGTAATTCAGTGGTGAATCTTACTTGATTTTGAAGCTAAAGGACACCTCAACTGTCAACTGCTGGAGTTTCGATTTCTAGTCACAAAACATTTTGAAGTTAACATGAAGATTGTAGGGAGGACATTTCAATTAAAATTCTAACAGTTTCGGGGCTCTCTGACCTTGAAAAGGAAAACGAAGACACTGTGTGACCACCTGAGAAGCAAAGCTTGAAGTTCTTTTGTGTCTTAGAAGTGGTGTTGCTGTTCTAGGATTCCGGGTGGTGGAGAAGCCTTTGGATACTCTGAAGGAGGGAAGTCCATTATCACTGCAAGGAGAGAGGTGAGGGAATAAGGAAAAGGACTTTTTTTCCTATTTCTGAAATTCATCTTTAAGACTGGTATTGTGGTGCAGCAGATTAAGCTGTCACTCCTATATCAGAATGCCAGTTCCAGTGCTGGCTGCTCTGCTTATGATCCAACATCTTACTAACATGCCTGAGAAGGAAGAAGATAGCCCAAGTGCTTGGGCCCCTGCCACCCGTGTGGCAGCTCCTGGCTCCTTGGCTTCTGCCTGACCTACCTCTGGCTGTTATGGACATTAGGGTAGTAAACCAGAAGGTTGAAATATTTCTTTTTTTTTCTTTTTTAAAAAGATTGATTATTTACTTGGAAGGCAGAGTTACACAGGGGTGGGAGAGAGAGAGAGAGAAAGTCTGTCTTCCATTTGCTGGTTCACTCCTCAAATGGCCACAATGGCTGGAGCTGCACTCATCCAAAGCCAGGAGCCAGGAGCCAGGAGCCAGGAGCCAGGAGCCAGGAGCCAGGAGCTTCTTCCAGGTCTCCCATGCAGGTGCAGGGGTCCAAGGACTTGGGCCATCTTCTACTGCTTTCCCCAGGCCAGAGCAGAGAGCTGGATGGGAAGAGGAGCACCTGGGACTTGAACTGGTGCCCATATGGGATGCTGACATGCAGGCAGTGGTTTTACCCACTACGCCACAGCACCGGCCCTGGTTGAAGATATTTCTTTTGTTCTTTCTCCACTCTCCTTCCCTCTCCTCCCCTCCCCTCCCCTCCCCTCCCCCCTCCTCCCCTCCCTCCTCTCCCCTTGCCTTCCCTTCCCTTCCCTTCCCTTCCCTTCCTTTCCCTTCTCTTCTCTTTTTCTCCTCTTCTCTGCTCTCCCTCTCCCCCTCCTCTCCCTCTCTCCCTCTGTTGTTCTTTCAAATAAATTAATACATATATATTTTTAAAAATTCATCTTTTCAGATACATTTCAGGCCATCCCTATTAAATTCCTGGGCAGATTTTTACATTGGGCAATACCTCACAGAAGGCTGATATTTAAAATCCATCAGCTGATCTCCTGCCAGGAAGCTTAGGGAAGAAATAACATCTTCCCAGTTTTGGGTTAAGAACCTGTTTTATGCAAAATAGTCTTTTTTTTTTTTTGGACAGGCAGAGTTAGTGAGAGAGAGACAGAGAAAAAGGTCTTCCTTTTCCATTGGTTCACCCCACAAATGGCCGCTACAGCCGGCGTGCTGTGCCGATCCGAAGCCAGGAGCCAGGTGCTTCCTCCTGGTCTCCCATGGGGTGCAGGGCCCAAGCACTTGGGCCATCCTCCACTGCACTCCCGAGCCACAGCAGAGAGCTGGACTGGAAGAGGAGCAACTGGGACAGAATCCAGTGCCGCGACCGGGACTAGAACCCGATGTGCCAGTGCTGCAGGCAGAGGATTAGCCTAGTGAGCTGTGGCACCAGCCCAAAATAGTCTTTCAAACACAGATAAGTTGTCTCAGCAAAATCATCTGAAGGTTTCAACACACTCTCATATAAACATTTGGTTCTTTGTCTGTTAATGGAAGGGTTTGAATGGGAAAAGGGGCCAACCTATGTACCTGAAAAGGATCTTCTATTATTTTTTTCTAGCATCTGTGGTCCTAGTCTTAGGAGTCTTAAGTCAGCGGTAGGGATGTCAGCAAGTGAAATACAGTAGGCTCCCATGGATGATACCTGATGAAGGGACAGATCATCTGTACTCACCACCAATCCGTTCTCTGTATGGTGTCTCAGCCTTGGACTCACAGAAGAGCAGAGTTTGTAGAAGTGCGGCTTCCACTTACCAATTTTAGATCCATGAGTGCCCAGTTCCCTCCCAGACCTCACTGCCAGCACATCAGGAACTTCTGGAATAGAGGGCAACAGTGGTGATGGGCCCTCCCAGGATACCGTGTGCTGTGTGTGCCCGTCATCACCAAGATATGCATCCAAGAAGAGTGGACATACTTCCATTTTTAGACATATTATCAGCACTCATCTAGACATTCTCCATCCATTTGTTCTGGTTGAATCTAAGACCACTATTTTTCCTTATGAAGGAGAAGACATCCCAGAAACAAACTATTCAGAAAGCATTGTCGGATAGATTCCAGAAACTGTTGATTGTGGTTTTAGGTAGGGCTTTCTCAACTATCTTTAAAGTGCTTGTTTCCATGAGCAAATAAACTCATTTTAAAAAGTTACTAGGATTTAAAGAGGGACATCGAAGATGTTCCATAGTATGCTCTTATTTACTAAAGTTTCACAACAATGATCTCAAATCTGTTATGACATTTCTGAGAAAAAAAGCCAGCAAACACTATCTCCCCGGTTATAATGTAGAATGATAAAGTGTTTGATCCAGCTCTCCTTTCTTGATCATTGCCTAGTATACGCTGTGCTAAAAAGCACTGGACACTGGGATTTGAGTCCTAATTTTGTCTCAGATTTTTTTACACAATTTTACATGTTATAGGTGAGAAAGAGTTGAAGATTTCTATTATCTCTAAGCTGTCATCTCTTCCATAAAACAGGTTTAGCAATTCAATCCACCTTATGAAGGATATTGCCAAAGAGATGATGAATGGAAACAGCTTCTACCTATGGCTACATTGTAAGCAGAGAGTATGTGTTAAATCACTGCAGAGGAGGGAAATTGTAAGATTCTGTTCTCTGAATCAAGAATTCCGTTTCAGGCTTCAGTGCCGACACAGACATTGGGCAAATATGATTTGTCTAATCAACTGCTTTTGTGTGAGCCTTGAAAGAGGCCACACTACTGAGTGTCACTGATGGTGATCCCTGCTAGTTCCACAGTGGTATGAATGTTTATGTGTTCAAAAGAAACTTGATACTTTCCAGAAAGTCTCTGAACATAATTGCTCTCCTGCTTCCCAATCCCGAAGGCCTAGACAGAGAAATTCTAGCTGAGTTATCCAAGGTGGCCTTGATCTAGGGCAGCCCTTCTAGTGGTGGTCTAATTTCCCTTGCCCTCAGGTGGAATTCCCATCACTGAATACCCTTTATGAACCAAACTAAAGGTCTAGGTTGTTTACCTCTCCCTAATGTGTCTCCCTACCCTTGTATATACTCAAACCTTCTTGGGTCCAAAGCTGTGTGGCTCCAGGTTGCCTAGAAGAGAGTTGTGTTTTGAGTTGGTAGGTAGGCCAGTATCTGCAAATAAAATGCTGAAATGCTCTCTCCAAGCTTTGTTCACAATCTAGTGCAGTTTGGTTCAAAGGGAGTACACAACTGCCCCCAACGTTATACGATGAAGTGTGCTAGTTCAGTGGTCTCTATCCCAGATTTAAACTCACTTTGACACACCCACCCACCTAATACCTTACTATTCAACACCGATAGGACATTTTTGTTTCCATACTTCCTATTTCCATAGCTTCTACATCTAAGATCACAAAATTCTTTGAGCCAACAATAGTTGGCACTTCATACATTTTTTAACAACTGTGAAAAAAAAAACCAAAGTGTAAGGTGAGAAAATTTCTAGGAAAATGCTCTTTCTGCTCTTAGAAGCTCTGCTCCAAGCCCATCCCTTTGGCCTCCAGGCCATAGAAAAGGATGGACCTGAACCTTACAGAATGTAGCTCTCTCGAGCATGCATCACTTTGCATGTAACTAAATCTTGTTTCTCTGCTAAACTTTACCTAAGTCTCATCCTTGAACTCTTTTCTTGCCCTGAAGAAAAGAACATGGACAAGCCACCCTACGACATTTCCAGGGGTTGCAGATGCTGGGCTGCTTGAACACAAGCCTTTCAGAACTCCCCACATACAGGATCCCAGGAATTCAGAACAAACTAACTGTGGTCTTATGTGAGTTTGATTTGTTAACTCAGCCCAAAGTTGTGTTTTGTTGGTTGTGTGTGTGTGTGTGTGTGTGTGTTGTTTTGACAAAGGTAGAGAAAGCGGTATTGCCAGTAAGGCTGGAAGTTGAAGCTCAGCACTTCCAAAATTTGCTTCTCCTCTTGAAATATGGAAAGAGCTGTGACATCACCAAGGTAGTCTAAAGGGGAGTTTCTCACAGGCAAATAGGCCTTTTAAGCTTCTGGGATCATCCCTCACTTCTCCCAGGAAGACAGGCAACTCTTCACAGCATTTGTTCAGGTACATTTATAATGGAGTCCTTACCTCCCCATTGACAAGAATTCAGGAGGAGAGACAAGAGACCTGGCAGCAAGCACACTAGTGAGGTTGATGAAGAAGTGCACCTGACACATCAAGAAGGGAGCTCAGCCAAAAGTCAGTGTATATGCCCCCATCCGCATTTAGACTATGGTTTGTATGGGTATGGGCAAATTTTTTCAACCATATTCCCTACCCATCTCTGGAAGATTACTAGCAGAACACCCAAGTGCAGGATCCTCCCTGGGTGTTACATTACTGGGCAGAAAGGTTCCTGGCACCAGACTTGGGACCTTCCTTACAATGATATTGGGCAGGGCCTTTGATCTGCAAATGTTGGGTTGTTCTCAAGACATGTTTCCAAGATATCTAGGCCCCTTGTCTCAGGTAATTGATTTTTTTCCTCCCATAAACATAGGCTAGTACCTGTCAGTTGCATTCTGAAAAGTATATCAAATTTTTTCCATATAAAACACTTTAATCCAATTTAAATAAAAGCCAGTCAATGAAACTGCAAACTTTAAGAAGTTCCTGGGCCGGTGCTGTGGCATAGCAGGTAAAGCCGCCACCTGCAGCACCAGCATCCCATATGGACACCGGTTCGAGTCTCAGCTGCTCCACTTCCAATCCAGCTCTCTGCTCTAGCCTGGGAAAGCAGTGGAGGATGCCTCAAGTGCTTGGGCCCCTGCACCCGTGGGGGACCCGGAAGCAGCTCTGGCTTCTGGCTCAGATCAGCACAACTCTGGCCATTGCATCCATTTGGGGAGTGAACCAGCAGACAGAAGATCCCTCTGCCTCTGCTCCTCTGTAAACTCTGCCTTTCAAATAAATAAATAAATCTTTTTTTTTTAAAAACTTCCTTTGAAATATGAGAGAAAGGAATTCAGCACTGATTTTAGAAACTTGTTAACAGATCCTCAAATGAACCAAATCTTGCGCTCACTTCCATTTTTTAAAGATTTATTTCTTTATTTGGAAGGCAGAGTTACAGAGAGGCAGAGGCAGAGAGAGGTCTTCCATCCACTGGTTTACTCCCCAGATGGCCACAACAGCCAGAGCTGGGCCAAACTGAAGCCAGGAGTCAGGAGCTTCCTCCAGGTCTCCCACATGATGAAGGGGTCCACGGACTTGGACCATCTTCTACTGCTTTCCCAGTCCATTGCAGACAGCTGGATCAAAAGAGGAGCAGCCGGGACTCGAGCCAGCACCATATGGGATCCCAGCACTGAAGGCACCGGCTTTACCTGCTAAGCCACAGCGCCAGCCCCTTCACTTCCACTTTTAACACCATTACCAGGATATTTGGCAATAAAGACATTTGTATCTCACATTCAGAGTACCTGAATTCAGAGTACACACAGATCTGGCTTCTAACTCCAGCTTCCTCCTAATGCAGACTTTGAGAGCAGCAACGGCTTGGGTAGTTGGTTCTTGCCACCCATATGGCAAAGCTGGATTGAGTTCTTGATTTCTGGTTTGACTGGCCCCATCTCAGCCATTGCAGTATTTGGGAATAATCCAGTACATAGAGCGCTCTCTCTCTCCCTCTGTCTCTCTACTTCTCAAATAATCATTTCAAATTTAAAAACTATGAAAATCATACCATATGCCAAGCCATGTGCTAGGTACTGGGAATAAGATAGAGACCTCTCTTGGAGTTTCCATAGTAGAAGCTGTGTCAGATAGTGCATAACAAAATAGATTCTGAAAAGGGCTCTGAAGGAAGTCAGCTGGGTTCTGGTGACAGCAGTATGCTTTGTGCACTTTAACATCTTACACATCTTCTCTATGGCCCACACAGGGTAAACCACTAGAAAGTGCCATTGTTACTTCTAGGTTAGTAGCTGTACCGAGCCAAGGTAGAATGGGGGAAGTTTCCTATGGCAATGTAAACTGCTATTCATATGTGTTCTAATCATCACACCCACACTGAATTGGCCCGCGTCCCTACAGAAATCTTCTAAGAACTGATTTCACTGTAGCCCCTACCTAACAGAATTGTCAAATATGAAAAAAAAGGATACTGAGACTTAGAGGAAATGGCCTCATTCCATAATAAATAAGCATAATATGTGTCCTCCTATGTCTGCCCTAACTGGCCCTGATGGGAGAAAGACAGCTCTTGGATTTGAACTTGGAAGAGGAAATTCAAGCTAGCAACCAGAACCAGACCACAACTCTGAAGACCCCCCTCCAAAAAAGCCAGCCCCGTTACTTCCTTGGGAAACTCCACCTCCTCCACCCCACCCCACACCAGTGGGCTGCTGGAGTCCTGGAGCCACTGTTGTGCCCAGATCGTTAGATCCCCGCAGAGACCCCCAGAGAGTTATCACACCAAACTGCAAGAGCAAGGTTTATTCAGGAGTACAAGCCGCGACAGGGACCCCATCCAACCAGACTGCACAGCGGAGGAAGGAGTGAGGCCCCGGTCTTTGTTTGGGAGAGTTTTTAAAGGAAAAAGGGGCTACATCAGCAGGAAAAAAGAGTTCATACAGCATGGAAGCTTTGGGGGCAGGGAGTTACTTTGTTTAGCAATCTCTACTGTGCTGTCCTTGGTCTACCGAGCTAGCTGTCCCTGGTAAGCTTTGATATCTCTGGAATGCCTGAATGCCTGCTTTACAGGACCCAGGTCTGCTATGGGAACGGAGGCTGCTTTTTTATTGTTTTAAAATGGAGTCACTTTGGTTCTTCATTCCCCCCTTGTTTTTGTACATGTTTGAAAAACCCAATCATGGGTTTTGGACTGACATTTTATAGGTTTTACAACATTTAAGGGTTTATATTGGGACTGTTGGACCATTAATTGAATGGTGTCCAATCTCTGTTTCATAACTGTACAAGTTTGTTAACAATGCAAGGTCTGAAGGTTAAAATTAAAAGCAGGAGAACAAGGGCCCTATGAGTCCTGATAGTAGGTGGCTTGCCACGGAGAAGAATTGAACCAAGACTCAAACCACCCCTGAGAGGCCTCCTGTTCTTTTTTTTTATCTTGCCAGCCCCTCCCTGACCTTAGCCAGCCATGTTATCTTTTATTAGGCCCGAGTGATCAGCGTAAAAGCAGCATTTTTTCCCAGAGTGGCGCACAGCCCATCACATCAGTCCCAAAAGTCCAAGAG